AAAAAGTCATCTACTTTAGAGATAATTTAAAGAAATAGTCTCTTAACATTTTTAATCATGCACTTCATAAAACTTTAAGTATACCACAATATATATGCATTTGTTTATAAAATGTACCACATGCCTTTGCATACATACATGAACACACACACAACAATATTTTAAAAGAATGATATAACTTCAGAGATGACCTATCTAGAGAATTGTTAAAATCAGGTATACTCATAGGTAAAAGTTATCTTATCAATGTACAGTTTGAAATAATTAGTGTTTGAAGAAATATTCTCCAAATACAGAAATGCAGTTTAATTTTCCTGCCTTGTGGTCCCTATTGTGATGTTAGGTGTCTGGCCTACACTCAGTTATCCTCCCATCATCAGGAATGCAGTCACAAATGGCCTTCACAACTTACAGGTACCAGGAAAGAGACTACAATCATCAAATGGTTTCTAATAAACAGCTTCAAAAATCTTTTCCCTTTAAAAAATACCAAGACAAACGCACTAAGCACTGTATTTGAATTTCTTTAAAAATCACCTATAGGAGTATGCTTTATTTACGCCTCACATCCACTCCTCCCACAAGCCCAGTTTCCACTTAGTATGGGCCATAAACCGTACTACCTCTTTGATCTGCATGTTCACAAACAAACTGAATGCAGACTTTGTCCCAGATTCATGAATTACAGAATCCCCACAGTAGTATTTCCCAAACTCTTTGCCAAAGACCAGGTTGCACAAACCTCTCTTGATAAACACCTATGACCACAGCATTTTTACTATCAAACCTTTAAATTCCCCAATCTCAGCTAAGCTTCCCACTTTTCCCTTTCCCCATCCTTTCTCTTTTCATCTAACCCTAGATTCAACTACTTCTTCCCTCAGTATTATCACTCTTTATACAGAATTCCCAAAACACCACTGCATCTTCAACACTCAAATGACAAATTATGAAAAGGCTCATATAAAAGTCAGAAGTTGAACTCTAAAATATTCCTTGTAAGACAACTCAACTAAGAGATGACAAAGCATTACAAAAAAAAAAAATTAAGATTCTTATGACTGGAAGCCTTACCATTTTTCTATTCCGGTTTAACACACTGAACACCACCAAAAGAAACTGGTAAAACAAGTTAGAATGACAGCTAAAAAAACCCCATCAATTATATATACTCCACAAATTGTCTGCTGAGCAACAGTGTCAATCCTTATTATTAATACAAGCTAAGGCTTACTTGTTTGGAACTTCTTAAAAATACAGAATTTAACATCTTGATTAACTATGTTCCTTCACTTTATGCTATTCTCAGAAGAAAATATAAGGATCTATAAAAACAACCAGAAATGATTCATATGAATTCCTCTGGCACATCTGTATGAATGTAAATGACTGAAGGATTCAATGAAGCAGCTCAGTTTGGTTAGCAGTACAAAATAGGAAATATTTTTTCATACTGTTATGTTCCAAATAGAAAAAATAAACAATTGTTATATTTTGGCAGGAGCCATATATGGAAGTTGGATTGCAGAGACTGAGAGATAAGACTGAACTATTTGCAGTCCATATACCTTCAGATTAGCAAGAAATGAATCATTTCAGACAATCCAAATATACTTTTTGAAGTCTCTTGTGTGTATGTAAAACTAAGGACAAATTCTCCCCACATAGCTTATCAATAGCATCTTATCACATCATCTGAAATAAGAGTGCAAAGGGGAGAGGAAGTATCTTTAAACTTCAATATACAAAATACTGTTTCAGTTATCTTATTTCTCTTCTGCAAAGAGGAGAGGATCAGAAATGTTAAAAATCACCAGAGGAAACATCAAATAGCAGATGTGTTTGTTTTAAGATTAAAGGGAGTCTGAAAACCTTTAGTCATTAGACACTTAGAATAGTCAGGAATACTGCTTCCCTATAACTTGAAGGCCAATTCTATTATCTGTAACACCTATACAAAACAAAATGACTTGCAATTTGAGTTCTAGTAACTTAAGGAAATCATTTGTGCAATAGTACCAGAAAGCAATTTTCTGGTGGCCTTTCAAGTCTATTATTACAGAAATATTGCAAATTTAGGGTAAGAACATGTGATTCCCACTCCAGATTGCAGGGCGAACAGCCACATTTATCCTATCTGCACTAGGATAACTCTTTGTCATACAATCCACCTGAAGCCTTGCTTCATTCAGCATTAGAGCAAGCTAGTATTTATATTTAAAAAAAAAAAAAAGGAAGTAATGTTTAAACTGTTAAAACTCAGAAAGTAGTATTTCTAAACTTATTGCCAGTAACTACAAATCCCTGGTGCCAGCGGCAACTAAAGATATTGAAAGCAGTCATTGTTTCTTAAAAGGGTTTCTAAGAAACCATCTTTTAACTCAGGCAGTGTGAAAGCCCTTTAAATTCCATCCCTATTTAAAAAAAAAAATGTACACAACTGGAACAAATGACTATGTGTGCAGGCCTGGCACACACCTGCATGTGTATAAAGCAGACACTCAAATGCTTTTATCAAAATAGCTTGGCAAAACATCCCCAGAAGCAATGAAAAGATGTATCAAACAGCTACTATACTGAAGACAATTGTCTGGGGAATGTTAAGGTTAAAGTCACAGGAAATAGCTGGATTTTAGGTCTCAGGGATGTTTGCAAGGCTTTGAAAGGGGAACTTAACAGCTCCTTACATGTGAGACATCACCAGAATTCTAGAAGTATTTTTATTAAATTCACTTCTCACCAAATTTCTTCAAAGTACCAAAAAACTTAACATTGGAATCTTCAAGAATGATTCTCCAAGAAAAGAATGACAAAAAAAAGTTTAAGGTACTAAGATAAATATTCCTAAACTCTCTGGAAGCCCTCCCTTTGCCTCAGGTCCCAGTGATCTAGTGTGCAAAGCTTTATGCAGCTTCAAAGGAGTTACCAGATGCAACGCAGTTGGTGAAAATGGTCAATGCAGTCCGTACTGGGGTGAGACTTGTGTAAAAACGATTAATACCAGTTGTTTTACTATAAATTTGTTTGAAAATTGGAGGGGGGCTGAGGTTCCAAAGACAGATAGAAAAGTAAAACCATTAATAATTGGCAAGGGTAGTCCATATGTTGTTGTTACAATTCAAACTTACAAGGATGGCCTGCCAATAAAGTTCACAACCTTTATATTCTAAATACCTGCTCAGTTAGCGGTGTATCGCTGTGTAGTCTACAAAGTCAGAATTTCACATTACAGGGAAAAATAAATTCCCAAATTTATTCGGGACTACTCATTTCAAGTAATTGATTTCAAGTAAACTAGATTGCGTATTTCCAGTATGAACATGTTTACATGAATACCCCATACCCCCCAAAAGCCACTACATGTTAACTTACTTGTGTAGATTAAAAAGTTTCTACTTTCAATTTCCACTAAAAAAAGTATGCTATTCTTCTACATCCAATCAATTATCAAAAAGCTCTATCATACGAGGTAGTGGACTTAGTATTTTCATTTGGCTTTAGTATTTATCCGACATAGAAGTCTAAAAATAAAAAACTCAGTATTTCAACTTCAGAATAAAAATTCATAAACATACCTTTTGTTGAATTCCAGTTTAAGTGATTTTTATGCAAATCTTGCAGCTGATGAAAGGCAAAAGGCAACCAATGTCTCTGCAGTGATTAGCCTGTTCTTTGGGACTAGGGGTCACCTGCCCCAGGATTTTCTAATTGAACAAGGAATCCATGGGGCAAAATTGTTTTTCAAGGGTGGGCCAGAATGGAACATTTATATCTTCACTTCAACAGGGAAGCAATGAAATGTAATCCTTTGGGCATCATTTTTTGGTAGATGTTACCTTTGTCTCTTATCCTCATTTCATGCGATTAGCTTGGGAAGGTGTCCATGTTTTGACTTTAGATATTTTAAGACATCTAAACATACATACATAGATCTTCACTCCTTATCAAATGTTTTTCAGCATGACTGGTGTGCAAATGACATTCACATAGTTTACAGAACCTAAGTCATCTGAGAAATATTTCTTTTAGCTGAGCCTCTATAATCATGACAAAAGATTGATTAAAATGCCAAGATAAGAAACAATTTATTATAGAGAGAAGAAAAATTTCTTTCATCCAAAATATAGAAATCTGTACAACTTTGCCACAATCAATATACATGAACTGTACAAATTTACACCAGTTCATAATTTACCAAATAAAAGATGACTAACAAAGTTCACAAAATAGATGGTGGTTTGTGGAAAAGACTTTTACCCAATTAAGTACAAGGAAAGTTACAAACCAGACCTCCACTTTCTAAAAATAAGAAGTTTACTCAGTCTTAGAAAACTACAAGCTAGCAACTGTACAGAGAGCTGGCTGGTGCTAACACCACAGTTGAGACAGTGTCTTTTTAAGGGTCTTTTTTAAAGCCTGTTGCCATGGCAAATTCTGGTCACTTTGCTACTTTCAAGGCCAAAAACACAATACAAGGTCTGACCATTTCCCCAGGTCATGCTTACTAGTTTGTCTTATGTACATTTATACATATTTAAGTGCTAGGTAAAAGTCTTGTCATAAAATTTCCAGTACTACCATGTTGAAAATATTAAGCTTTCCTATTGAGCTGCCAAGAAGGATAACAATTTAAGTGTAATAGTGCAAATTTCCTCTGCAAGTTCTACTGCAGAGAAAGGTTCTTTGAAATACAGATCTGCATTAAAGGGACTGATGTAAAAATTTAGGTATCATGTCTGGGAGAAACTGAAACCACCCTAAGACGTCACTCCCTAGCAAATAAAGTGATCATTTACTTGGACTCACAGGCTATTAAATCACTGAAAGGTACTGTCCAAACTATGGCACTGTCACTTAAAAAAATTTTTTTACCACTTGTGCCAGATCTTCACAGCTGTGACATGGTTTAAATTCCATAATCCATCCCCAAGAGGAGCCCACCCAAAGCAAAAATCAAATTTATCCATCCATTATAAGATGATCCATCCATAGACTATATCTTAACCTGATACAGTCATCATATTGTAGTTTTTGGAAGGGCTTGTTCTGCCCAAGAGAAGTTCCTCCTTACAGCTGATTCTGCTGTCTACCATTTGCACGTTGGTGCTGTTCTGGGTGCTACCTCCTGCTGGTGAGGCCTCGTACAGCACACAGATGGAGCCATCCTCTCCAATTCTGTAGGACACTTCATAGGGGTCAACCCAGAGTGTGAGTTCACTTGGGAGAAGCCTGAACAGCTCCTGACTGCTCAGTCCAATCCGCTGTGCTGCCTGTCCAATCAGAGGATCCATTTTATGGTTGATGCGAATACAACGGTAACCTGATCCCTTGCACGGCTTTTCTGGGAACCAGTGATGTTTATAATGTTCTACAGAAGAAAAGAACAGAGACACAATGCTTAGAGATCGTGACTGCCAGCTCCCGCCGTAGTTTCAGCTTCTTTCTTCGGTTGGCTCCTTTGAAAAGGCTATCAACGTTTTTAAATGCCCAGCATTGCATTCACGGCTGTGCGTGTGTGCCGAGACCGGAAACGAGCGAGCAGGGATTTAGAAATGACAAAGTAGTACGGGACAAAACAATCTCCCGGAACCAACCGGTTGAGCCGCCAAAACGGGAATCAGGCGCGCGGCCTCGGCCAGCCCGGCAGTAGGATGGCCCCGGCGGCCAGCGGGAACGTGTTTACTTTCTCCACCCTACCCCAGCCGCGCACACAATGGGGTTTATGGCTTTGGAAGAGAGAAGAGCAACCGGACTGTTAACCCCGAAGGAAAGAAAAACAGGCAACCCTAAACCACGCTCTGGGCAGGGCTGTAATTGTACCAGTGACAAATCCGATGATTAATGGGCAGGAGTAGGAGGCGCGGGGAGACAGCACGTCCGTCCCGGGCTGGCTCCGGGGCAGCAGCGCCGTTTCCCACCCCAGGGCCCGGCGACCAAGTCAGCAACGGTTGGTCGGGGTTAGGGGGAGGGGGCGTCGAACCAACCCCAGCTCTGCGGCTCCTTTGTCCCCCAAATATGCGGACCGTCCGAGGACCGCCGCTCCCGCCTCTGCTAGCTTTAGCTTCTTTGTTGTGCGTCTGTTTTCTTCTCCCTTCCGTTTGCCAGCAATGGGGGGAAGGGGCGCCCTCGGCCCAGCCCCCAAACCCTCCCCGGGACCCGTCGTTAGAGTCTCCCCGACGCGCCAGCCACAGTCCCGCGGCCGGACCTGAGCGCGGCCGGC